GGGGGACTAACAAGATTATTTGGTTATATAAACCGAGTTGATAGTATAAAGCAGCCACTGAAAAGAGTTACTAAAGTGACTTTTCGAGCTTCAGCCCTTCGTCAGAGCGATGATTGTCGTCATTTGACATTTGCGAGTTTAGATATTCTGCCTTCATAGGTTAGCTCTGACGGTGAAATTCTTCAATGGCTTTTCTTTGCGATATGATAATAGGGTTGGTTCCTTAAGTAGAGCACGTTGGTTTGGAATAACGTGCCATTTCCCCATGATCTTCATCTTGGGGTTAGGACAAGCCGGATGACATTATGCTACAAAAAAGCAAAATTTTCTTCAGTGTCCGGCTTTTGTCTGTTTTCTAAATGACCTTTCTCTCCTAGCCAGCTGTACGTAAGCGCGTCTTAGGGCCGGGTAACATTACCAACTCGCCAACGGCGTTTATTCGACAGGTCAAGTTTGAGTTAGATTTAGGCGGTAAAAGTAAGGGACAGCTGTAGGAACATTTCATAATGACATTACATAGAGTGAGGTTTGAATCCTCACGAGAATCGATCCTCTATTTTTCTTTCCGCTCAGCTGTTGGGACATGCTCAGCATTTGATGATGAAATTAAACAGAGATTTGAATTCTCATTGGATTTTATCCAGTATTTCATGTCTACTCAGCTGCTACAGCGTGACATAGGGAACTTAATATCGGGTGAGGTTTGAATCCTCACAAGCATCAATCCAGTATTTTTTTATTGCTCAGGTAGTACAGGATTTGCTACTGAAATTGACTAGATTGAGGTCTGAATCCACCCACGAGAGACAATCTACTTTTATTTTCACCTGTGCATGCAACTCTTGCCTGAGCACTTGGGCTGCTTTCCAAAACACAGTTTGACTGGATATAACCTGTTGATAACAAACTCAAAAGACTAGCAAAATAGCAAAATGATAACGAAAACTTCACGAGTTGTAGGTTTAGATCGATCAGCAGCTAAATATCAGACAGGAAAATTTGTAGATATGAACTTTAAATCCACCAGAGATTCGACTCATATAGTATTTTCCCTGCCCAGTTGGTTGGGCTTTTAAAATTTAAATTTAAATAGAATGAGGTTTGAATCCTCACGAGAGTTGACCCAGCTTCTCATTTCTGCTTAGTTTGACGTTTAGATTGAAAATAATAGAGTGAGGTTTGAGTCCACACAAGACTCGCCACTTTCATATGCTCATCTGGTAGAGCATTCCATTGCAAAATTAAAAGAGGGTGAGGTTTGAATTCACACCAAACTCGAGCCATTAGATGGTAGAGCATGATATTAAAATTGAAAAATTTGAGGCTTCTGCTCAGATGTTAGAGCATTTGATTGGGAAATTTTATAGAGTAGGGTTTGAATCCTCACAAGAGTCGATCTAGTTTTTTTGTATTCCTGACTTTGAAGTCAAGGGTGCTTGGGAAAAGAATAAATGCAATCCCCGCTTGAATATAGACACAGTCCTCTGGTGGTTACAGCCGACAACCGACTTGTCTTACCTCCGGGTTTGAGACCTATTTAACGACTCATAGCTCGTATCGAAAAAAAAAGGAAAAAAGGAAAAAAGGAAAAAAACAAAATGGATTCGAGCCTATCATTGCCAAGGTACTAGAGGGTGAGACCGAAGTATGGGTAATCTGCACTGCACCTCTCCTCGGGACGTGAAAGTAAACAAGCACCGAGTGGGGCGCACGAAACTCTCCACCCAGCTGGGATCTCTTTATCATCAGGCTGAGTACGTGAGATTCGAATCCTCACAAGGGAACTCTGATCGTTTCATAGTCTCAGACCCAAACAATACATCAGCCTCTGTCCTAATGTTTTTTGTTTTGTCTCCTTTTTTTCAATCTCAACATTTCTCTTTGTTAATGACTCTTAATTCGTCTTTCGTCAGCCTAGCATACTAGATTTTTACCTTTGCTCACTTCTGTTCAACTTTTCCGCTGTGTTTTAGTTGAAAATCGCTAAAACAAACTCCCCAAACTGAAAAAGAACACCATTTGAAATAAATGATCAGTACTAGTAAGTGGAGTTTTTATCTACTTTAAATTGCAATAAAGAAGTATCTCGTTCAAATATTTCTTTTGTTTTGGTTTGTTTTCGGAACAATGTTTCGCAAACAAGAATTTTTCTTCTGTTTGTTCTCCAAATTTCGGTTTCAACTAATATCTTCGCTGTATGCAGCATCAAAGATTCATGTCACTTAGAGTTCAATTTGTTAACATCATACATAGTCAGTGAAAAATAGACATAATTCAACTCTTACCAGAGCGCCTAAGCTGTTTTCTTTGCAGGTAAAGCTCTGTTATTGGGTCCAAAACACCGTTTGATTCTATGAAACCAAGAGCTACAGCTATATAACCTGTTGATAACAAACTCAAAAGACAAACACGACACCATGCTAAATAGCAAAATGAATAGGAGACCTTTGCGAGTTGTAGCGTTAAGGCGATTAGCAGGCAGAATATCCACTGACCTGAAAATTGTTAGATATGGCGTTTGAATCCTCAAGAGATTCAACCATGTAGTACTTCCCACCTCAGTTTGCTGAGTATTTGAAATTTAAATTTAAATAGAGTGAGGTTTAACTTGAATCCTCACGAGAATAGACCCAGCTTCTTATTTCTGCTCAGCCGGGGGAACATTTGACCTCTAAATTGAAAATAGAGTGAGGTTTAAGTACGCACAAGACTCGCCACTTTTTTATGATCATCTGGTAGAGTATACGATTGTAACATTTATTTATTTATTTATTTAATGATTCGCCCGAGGGCAGGTGATAATATAATAGGACTCTAGGTCCCCTATGAAATATTAACACCCAATCCCAACCCCAAGTATGAAAGAGAAAAGTGGAAAACCAATCCGAACCCAAAGTACCCATTAAAATATTTATTTATTTATTTTTCTTTTTACATAAGAGAAGAGAAAAAGTAACAACAATTGGCAACTACAAATATTCATACGATTAACTCTACGACATTTAGGACAAATTAACTTATATGAAAGAATGTTTTCTCCATCAAATACCAATTTAAGCCTTTCAAAGAAGAAATAATTTAACTTATTTTTAAAGAAGAAATGGAAGCCTGTGACTTAATAGTATCGGGAATGGCGTTCCATAAATTAGCTAGACGGTTGAAAAAGGAATCGCGAAACAAACAAGTTTTGAAAGGCGGCGTATTAAGATAAATGCCTGAGCTGCCACGGCGGGATTTGCTTATGCAGTACTGAATGTAATTGTGAATGTTTAAGTTAATATCACCAGGACATGCATTTAAAGAAAAAAACTAGGTCGAGGTACTCGAGCCAATAATTAAGTGGTAATAACTTTAGCCGCAGTAACCTATCCTTATAACTAAAGGTGTCTGATTTGCAAATAAACTTGGTAGCACGTCTTTGAGTCTTTTCAACTAACTTAAGGTCTTAGACTATGGATTGAGGGGCCCACACCTGAGATGCGTAACAGAAATAACAACGCACTAAAGATGTATATAAAAAAACTTAATGTCTTAGTGTTCAGTAAGGAAAAGCAGTTCCTTTTGATGAATTCCATCTTTCTGTTGGCTTTCGAGACAATTGCTGTTAAATGATGGTTGCAGGTTAGATCTTTTGTGATCGTGATACCAAGATCTTTTTCTTTAGTTACCACTTCCACGTTGATACCATTAAGGGTGTAGACTCTAGCAGGACCTGCTTTCCTTCTAGTGATTCGTAAGCTGTGACACTTAGGTGGCTGAGAGTAGATTTCGTTTTCGGCAGACCAAGAGTTAAGTGCTGACAGATCAGTTTGTAGTGCAGAGCAGTAATTAATTGATGTGATCACTTTAAAGCACTTTGAATCGTCCGCGAACATCGCAAGTTTAGTTGAGCGGAGGACTTTAGGCATGTCGTTCACAAACATTAAAAAAAGAACAGGTCCAAGGATCGAGCCTTCAACGACGCCAGATTTTACTTCAGACCAGGAGGATTAGGAGCCATTGATCACTACACGTTGCTTCCTAATACAGTTAAGTAGCTCTCAAACCATTTAAGTAGAGGGTCGTCAACCCCGAAGCTTTGACAGAAGATTTTGGTGGCAAGCGGAGTCAAAAGCTTTTGAGAAATCAAGGCAAATGATGTCAGTTTCCAATCCTTTGTCGAGATTACTGCCTACTTCATAAAAATTAAGACTTGAAGCAGTTGAGTGGTACATGAAAGTCCTTTGATGAAACCATGTTGCATAGGAAACAGGGCTTCACATATGTGTGGGAGAAGACGGACCAGGACACACTTTTCTTGAATCTCGGACAGGATGGACAGAATGAAATAGGACGATAATTGGCTACGTCTGCCTTGCTATCTCTCTTATGGACAGGGCATATGTTTGCGTTTTTCCAAGCTGAGGGGAAGTATCCATTAGCGAAGGAACAATTGAAAAGGGCTGTGATGGATGGAGCCAAGGCTGAGGCACATTTTTTCAAGGCAACAGTAGGAATATTGTCAGGACCAGGAGCTTTAGAACAGTCTAGCTCTTGTAACAGTGTAGTAACTTCAAAGGTTGATACTTCGATCAAATTGAAAGATTCAGTTATTAGAGGATTTCTTCCGACCACTGAAGGGGAAGTACATGAGCCATGGTCAGAGTAGACGGATTGGAAAAAACGAAGAGACGATTCAGCTTTGGCGCAATCAGTGCTGGATTCCATGCCTTCGTAAAATATGGTGTCAGGAATGGAATTTTTACGATTCTTGACGGAAAAAACTGACCAAAATTCCCTTGGGTTAGAATAGGCCTCGTTAGCAACGTCGCGAATAAAGTGTTTACGATTCTCTCGGCACGAGTCCAGTTCTTGATTCTTTGACGCTCTCTACGGAATTTTTCGCGAAGAGAAGCATCAGTGGACTTTCTGACTTTTTTCCATAGATTTTTCTTTTTCTTAATTGCTTTGGATAGATCTTTGGAAATCCAAGGTGGAAAATTAGGATTACGACATTTCACTTTAGGAATAGAATCATTGATGGTTGAAATAACAAGATCGCACCAAAAGTCCCAGTGCATGTCCAGTTCCTCTTGGGACTTGATATTGTTTACACCGCAGCCAACAGGCAACAATGCAAGATAATTATTCAAAATTTCAAGGTTTGCTTTCGAAAAATCGAAGCGTAATCTTAGATCAAAATTCCTGAGCCTAAAAGAAGCGGCGATGTCAAATATAACGGGGTAGTGGTAGGAAGGCAGGCCAACATCTTGAAAGTGAAAGCCAGAGTCGATGCTGGACAAGTTTTTATATATACCTACTCTTTTTTTATTTGTTTCTACCTTTTTGTGAATTTATTAAATTATCATGATTAATATTCTAGGGCTAGTGTAATTTTATCTCTTGAACAATAAAGACGCATTTTTATTTTAGCATCGACAATAATAATATTGATGATGATGATGAAAAGGATTAGATTGTAAATAGGATTTTAATTGAAATCGGAACTACTATTAGGTCGTTTTTACTTTTAACTTGTAAATAGTTATTTGCTTTGAGTTTTATTAAAGTTTGATTACTATTTTTTTAAAAAAATAATAAAGTTAGGGGTGACACTTCTTACCAATTCATGCTCATTCACAATTATTTGCTATTCTTTCGATATAAGGTCTGTTATGCTGCCACTTTCCAATAATCGATAATTACTTTGACCGTTACCTGGAAATCTAGAAAACTTGTAGAACCATCGAGTCTTTCGTTAACAGACTATCACAACGGCCCAAGTTTAGGGTGATTTAATATGGAATTCGGATCGAGTGAATCGATGACCCGACGATGTGTGATCAGCTCGCGGGCTTTTTCCCTCCAACGTTTTGACAAAACTCATCTTGGCTGTTAAAAAGCCCGCTTTCTCTTGGCAGCAGTGATACGTACAGCCACCAAACATAATGTTAACATGAAGAAAATCAACAAAGTGGAAGCATGAGGTCTGAGGAATAAGTCACAAAGTGAACAGTTACCGTTAAACTGAAAGAAAATTTAAAGCTACTCAGTTCGTCCAAACTGCGCCTTCACTAATACGCGCTCTTTAACGTTAATTATCTCACCAAGTCAACACGATTTTGTTGTTATTTGCGTACGAGATTAAATTTTTTCTGTGCTGGTCAAGAAACACGTTCTTTGGATGAAAATGAGCTAAATTGGAATTTGATGTCGGCGTAACGAGGGTTAAAATGAAAACGTAATTTAGCCACTGTAAAGAGTTTCAAAGCTGACGTTTCGAGCGTTAGCCCTTTGTAAGAGCGAAAGACGAAGGGCTAACGCTCGAAACGTCAGCTTTGAAACTCTTTACGGTGTCCAAATTACATTTATCAACTCAGTTGATAAAACCCAAATTACCATGTTACTTCCACCGACGTAGCACCGCAGTTTCTTTAGAAATTAAACTTGCCTCCTTTATTTAAATTGAAGACGGCTTGTTTGTTATAAATTAAGGAAAGTATATAAGCCGCTGGGGAAAGAGTGCAAGAGAAAAGGTTGTTTTGAATCTTCGAATCGTAAGGGTTTTACAGAAATTTTGAAGCAAAAAAAATTGATAAAATAAAATACAAATACAAAATATGCCCTCGGGTCTTTTTTTTATACAAAACGGCATTTAACCACTGAAGTTTCAAACTTTTAGATGCCACCTATTCCTGATTGGCTTTTAAAAAACGGCTCCTCCTTAGCTCAAGGTATGGATCCACCACTGTTTAAAGCATCTTTGTATAAAGGAATATAAAATGTTAATGCACTAAAGGAAAATGTTCCTCCTCTTCTTTTTTTTTTCTTTCCTTCTTGAGTCGACAGAATGTTATTCCTTCACCCCCTTCCTCCCCACCCCAACCAGTCACACGCCTTCACCCCCTGCCCCCCACCCTAACCAATGACACACCTCCATATAGGATATCTTTTACCCTCGCCCCAGGCCTGCCCTTGCCCTGTCCTTATCCTTCGATGTTGATGCATTAAATTCCAACCTTGCAAGACTGCTTGCTTTACAGATTTTACATCAGACATCCACTACTCGACAAAGAACTTTTCATAATTGTGGAATAAGTCCCTAAAGTTACCAGAAGAGATCATTTACTGATGGGGGGCAGTCTTGAGACAGTATTGCATTACAACTACAAGCACACAGCAACCAAGCCTATGCTAGTGAGGAGAGTCTTCAAGCCTGCAGAATGCTTGACCTAGCAGAAGAGGGAACCTGTTTCCTTTACCGGCTTTACCCGAGCCAGAGATTTTCATTATGTGAGGTATAGGTGGGACTTGTACCTTCTGGTAAAAACCTAAACTCTGTCATTGGTTCCCTTTCCAGCCTTTCCAAAAAACAACTTTATGCCTCTCTAAAAATATAAACCACTCAATTCCATCAAATACAACAAGAATGGAATTTTATTACTGTATAGTGAATTGAGAACAGAGTAAAAGTATAGCCTGTACCAGTCTTTATTAAGCCAATGTTTCTTTATACTGAATAAAATAATTATTGAATGTCCAATCACAAATGTATCATAAAATTTTCATAAAGCTCTACCATATAAAACTAGTTTTATACACATTCTCATGCATACATGGAAATGTGTTTGATACGATAATAAAATTTTTTCCATCTGGCCTAGATTTTGGAAGGGGGTACTCCCCCTCCTTGTGTATTATTACATAAGCCGCAATGGCTGTGGCTTTTGAGCTGTTAAGTTATTTCTTGCTTCTTTTTTTTTTTTTTTTTTCTTTTTTAAACCAGGAAACTGTATAGATTTGACCATTGTAATCTAAAGACAAGAATGATTTTCTGGGAAACTTTGAGAATGCAGACGACTCCAAATCAATAATTGATAGAGAAAAGTTAGGTTCACAACAACACATTTTTACTTAAATTAGGGTACCAGGGTTATTCTGAACAAAATCAATTTGAAACACTCTAATCAAGGGTTCCCTATACCCCTTTGTAAAACTCATTCACTTAAGAATATTTGGCCTTTTCATGTATCTCACTTATTTTCTTCACATTCATGAAATATTAGAAACATCACATTTCCCATAAAAATTGAAAAAAAAATTCACAAATTAATATTTTCACTTTTCACTTTTTTCTTACCTTATAATAGTATCTTATTTCATTTATTCAAGAATCATTAGTGGTCTGTTTTATGACTTTTATCGATCCATGTGAAGTCCACATTCTAAATTTTCATCATGCAAAACAAAATGGTTCATAAATCACGTTCAATTCGGCTCTTCATTTAATATAAACTTTATTCTGGGGACATGAAAAGATCTTATAATATTAAATCACCATTCACGAAGAAAAAACAAATTAAGATCAAGATTCAAGAGAAAACAAATTGCCCAATCACACTTCTCATAGAAAGGATAAGGGACCCCCCTAATCATATTCTCTCCACTTCCTTTCCAGTTTTCAAAATCAACTTCTGCATTTGTCACCAAACCAAGTTCTTCATTTCATCTTCATAGATATTGGGTATTAAACCTGATGAAGAATATATCACCACAATATTAACCCAATAAAGGCTGAAATAATCATAACATAATGGTTCCTTTAACACTGAGATTATATAAAACTTGCTTACTCAGCAACAAAATATTCAGGTTTGTTTATAAGGATCACATTTGAAATTTGTGGAGTTTAAAAACTCAAGTATACCCTGCATCAATGAATAATGCTTTAATTCTCACAAGTCAGTGATCAGCATGTAACTTCTCTCCAAAATATTCAAACATTTTCAAGCTAACAGATACATGTAATGAGAATACTCAAATTTATCAGGTAGAAGTTTTTTCATCAAACACCAAATTCTTGTAACTAATTTACAAGGAAATGTGTAGCAGCTATAGGGGAGAATCCTCTCTGATTGGTAAATTTTGACAGCAGTTGTCAACACAACAAGTTGATGAGAAAACCAATTGGAGCAAATAATTGTCTTATCAGTTATATATCAGGCCACCCATATAATGCAGAGATCCAAATAGCTGGAAATAACATGCTTAGAAGCCTTACAAATAGTCTTTGGTAATTCTATCTCGTCATCACTGCCCCAGGGATCCCATGAGATAGCTAGACCCATGCGCATAACCAGTGCTTTTCGCACGCAAATCAGTTTAGCAGGGTGACTACTCATACGAAGAAAATCTTCTCTTTTTACCTTCAAGTTTCTTAAAATTGGGTCTGCAATAAGATCACTGGGTAGAAAACACCTAGAATGACTACACCAGGTTTGGAACCCGATATTCAGTGCTCGAACGATGCTGTAGACCAACCTTCACAGAACACCATGGCGGCGATCCTCAGAGGACTTAACGATACTTTGGCACAATTGACCAAAGCTTCAGAAAAGCAGACAGCGACGCTCACCAGTCTTAAAGACGACATCCTCCTTCGTCCTGAATCAGACGAGGAGGCAGAAAAGGAAGACTCAAACATGAGCAATACACAACTAAATAGTACTGCCACGTTANNCGTTGCTTCTAGCTATCTCATGTGATCCCTTGGTGCAGTTTGATGACTCGATAGAATTCCAATCAAACTTCAACTTACAGGTAAGTCTCGTTTAATTTTTCAATTAATTCATACACACCAAATTTGGATTCCACCATATTGATTGTGTTTTTCTGAAACAGCTTGTTCTCATACTCCACTAGATATTTCCAGAATCCATTATTTGGTCGGACAAGACGTCTCTTTTTGTGGACGTGTGCATGAGCATCAAACAGCCTCATCTTTTGATATTTCATCAAGTAAGCCAATACCAAAGTTGCTGATCTGAAAAATAAATGTACATGTACCAACTAGGAAAGATTGTGGTTTATTGTCGGTTGAATTCGTGCATACCACACCCTTTCACATACATGTATTCTCAGTAAGTAACAGTAAGTAAGTGAGTTTATTTATACATATAAACATAGAAGAGTTAAAAAAAACTTGATCAAACATGTGCATGTAGAAAAAATTTAGAAATTTACTCACTAAAGGGAAAAACTTTATATTAACTACATTACGAAGTAATACCTGTTACTAACATTAAAAATACATCATTTTATAGAATTTATTAATGAATTAAAAAGAGCTAAATTTTGGCATATTAGAAGTCACCTTATAATGATACAAAATTAAAGTATATCAAGTTACAATTATAGTTAAAATAATAACAACAAGAATAATAATAATGGTTATGAAAATAATACTATTATAATTTCTGCATGGATGTAGATTGATTATTTTTTATTTTCACAAATACAATTTTAGGGCTAAAGATGGAGTAAGAAGTCTTTTCTGACCACAATAAGTAATTTGTAATGACTGAACTTTAGTCATAACAAATAGCAAACAAACAAAAAGGAAACAACAACAACAGCAAACAGGATACAAAATGAAAACCAAACTGAAAATAACTAGATAGAGACCAAAACAAACAAATCAAAGCAAGAAAATGCACACAAACATACAGACAAAAGTAAACGAAGTAAACAAAAGAAAACAAACGAAACTGTCCAAAATGGCATAGGAAGGTGAAGAAGCAGCCATCCTGGGGTCATCAAGAAGATTCACCCCCTTCACTCCTGCTTCCCCCAATCCGCCTTGAAACTTAATACTTCAGTGAAAAAAAAATTCACCTGCTTATTCCTGCAATGCAGTGGACAAGAACCTTTCCTCTTTCTCGTCGAACCTTTTCTATATCATCAGCAAAATTGAAGAACAAAACTTTTGGTCAACAAACCTTTCCCATCAATAAGTAAAACAACAAGAGAGTTTGTCGCACAAATGAAATATGTAAGATCGCAGCTTGGAGTGAGAGGATAGGCGTGCATGGAATAAAATCTAATTCAACTTACCGATTTTATCGGCCACTAAATCAAAGTATATTCCGATGTTGCAGGTCGGGTTATCTTCTAGCTTTATCCTTGTGCAAGTAATCGATTCATAGGTCAATTCGGGAGATTCCAAAGCAGCTGAAAATTATGAAAGATGAAAAGAAGGGCCAGGTCTCAGTGGATAATTGAGTTAGTGAAAACACGTACTAACTCGAGTTGCAGAATGCAGACCATATCCAATGCAAAATGTGATACTGTCATGAAATAAATGCGGTGTTAGGCTCGATTAAATTCGTATTTGACTCATTCTTACCGCTGATGACGCAGGTTATTCCATTTTCCTTGAGCAGATCTTCCTTTTTTGCCGCAGCTAGCCCTCCTAGGTAAAGATAGTCGGTAATTTTCGCCATGTTGCCCAGATCTAGCGGGCTGCAATGCTTACTAGCTGACATTACACCAGAATCCTCAGTTACACACGCAAAGTAATTTGTAATATTCTGATCATGTGCATATTTGGTAGAAAATTTTCAACAGGCAGGGAGAAGATTTCACTCCTTGGCGGAAGTCTTCATATTTTGGAAAGCAAACAAAACGGTGGTAATCAGAGCAGAACCTGGGACTCACTAGTCATGTGACTTCTTCATTTTTTTTTTTTTTCCCTCGAGTTTTTGACTTTGTTCTTATTTGAATTTGGGCACCATCGACACATGCACACAACTAGGAAAATGCTCAAAAACATTTGCGACAACTATTTCAAGAGATTATCACAAAAAAAAAAAAAAAAGAAAACAATAACTATCCTAATAAAATGTAATTGAGGGAAAAATTTTTGAAAATTTAAATGATATCAAATAATCTTGAGTAAATTTGCACTCTTTAACTATTAGTATAGGTAATCACATGATTTCGAGTGCAATTTGGAATAAATAAGCACGAGTAAATTTTTTCAAAGACTAACAAAATTGCATGAGTCCATAGGGCAAGTGCAATTTGTGGTCTTTGAAAAAATTTACAAGTGCTTATTTATTCCAAATTGCACGAGAAAATCYTGTGATTATCTATTAATAACATACATGAAAAAATACGAGGTAGCTTCTCATAACTACGCAGAAGAAAAGCACGCGCATCACGTGCAAAAATAATTTATTCAAACCCTGCAAGTGATATTGACCTTGACATTGACCTTGACAAATCATTCTGACCAATCAGAATGTCTGGTTTGTTTCTTTCTTTGCACTGAATTAACTCTCTTCTGCACTGAATTAACTGAAAACTGCATTCATCTCAACCAATCAGAACTGAAAAATCTTTTCATGTATATTATTAGTAAAAAACATGCTTTATAACAGGTTGGAGAAATCATGAAAATGACCCGTCACTGTAAGGACTCAGTTCTCAGTGTAGAGTGGAGAAAAAGGTGCACTGCTTTTCTCACTTGTGCTTGGCTGTCAGTTGGAGGTGAAAAGTAAGAAAGTGAGAACTCAAAACATGGTATTTCAGAGAAAGTGAGAACTCAAAACATGGTATTTCAGAGAAAAAGTTGCAAATGTAATTTTTGGATACTCTTTTGTCCATCTCCTCTGACCAAGAGCATGCAAATGCTACCACTCTTCCTAGATGGGATTCCACTGCTCCCAGAAGTGATTAACATGTAACTTCCCCCTATAATATCAAACATTAGCAGACAGGTAGTAGGGGCACTCAAACTTATTAGGTAGAGGTTATCTTGAACTACCAGCTCATTCTTGTAACCAATTTTTGTGGAAATGTGTGGGTTTGTGTGGTCTCTAGCAGTTTGCAAAGTTTCATTGACCGTTATCTTAAAAACAATTAGTAAATTGAGTACAGATAAAAAGCACAGTGCAAAGCATACAGTGATTTGCACAAAATCACCACAAAGTGACCCACCCCAGCTCAGCTCTTGATCAACTAGTAACCCAAACATCTGATATTCTTTCTCAGTCAACAAACATCCAAATACATCCAAACAATGTCTTTATTTCTACACACGTCGGTAAAATTCTCCATGCCTAAGTATCTACTCATTTTCTTCACTGCGTAGTCTTGCATTGGCATTTGTTATCTTGATGGCCAGCTGTTGTGCACGCTCCACTATCTCCTTTCTCTTCTTACTGGACACATTGTGAGCAATCTCAGCTGCATAGCTCTTGTTGGCCATCAGCAGGACTTCTAGTTCCTGATGAAACAAAAACAAAAAACTAATTAAATAACAATTTAGAAAAAAAAAAAGGAGATAATGGAAAAGTCTAAGATGACTGCTGTTTACTACTGGTGATAACAACAGTGGGAAAGTTGTTCGCCTGCCATTAAGCAGTATGGTGGTAATGTGATTAAAAAGTTGGCTTTTTAGCTTACAAAAACCAGGAAAAATTTGATCATGGCTGCATCTGTTGATGAGTTATATCCACTTCCGCTAGCCTAGTTCATGTAATCAGCCCCTCTGCTCAACGAAAAAATTGTTGACCAGAAATTATTACCATAATTAAATAAGAAGTGTTGCAACGTGGATTGAGAACCAAGAACACTGGACATTAAGAAAGAGGTCCTCTCCTGTCTCACCCATGAACATTGCCTCTCTCTCCTTCCTTTGGACAACCACCACTATCCTAACTACTCCAGTGATTACAACAGATTAATGGCAGGGCCATGAAATCTGAAGTCATCATGGTTTTAGTTCAAAGTGAGGTGCTTTTTAAAGGAAGGGGTTTCTTAAAACACGTAGCCTGGTGTCAAAATTATTTCATGGTCATAAAAATTTAACTGAACATTAAATTGTAGAAAAGATTTGAGATAAAAAGTACAGGTGGCAAAACATCATGCTTCCATATGGAAAATCGAACAATAAAAAATCAGAATAACAGCACGATTCTTAGAGTAGGTGATGAAATATGCCAATTACCAGCTTATTTTGAGAACCCTGATAGCATCAGTAAACAAAGCAACTGACTATTCTTCTTGTGCAAATAGAAATAATGGAGATATCTATTTCAAGCACACTAAAAGGTAAGAAATCAAGGAAGAAATGTATCCAAAACTTAGCCAGCTGGGAAGTACTGATAGGTTTCATCTATTCATTCACTGGTTAACATACACTTGGACTTGGAAAAGTGGGTTTACAATTAGACCTTCTGTCAAAATTCATCACACTTTGGTTACCCCTCTGAATCTCGCATGAAAAACCAAACAGGAATTTTTCTTTTCAATTTCAATGCATCTTCATACAAAAAGAAAATGAAAAAAAAAAATATTAACCAAGGGATATTGTTTGATTTAAATCCAAATTCTAAGAGCATAATTATTAGAAATGTATGAGAGACAGTGTAGAGAAGTGATATTTACTTCATAACAGTAAAGCAGGGTTCACATCCTTTTTTTTAGGAACAAAATTTAATATTTCAAGGACTTTTCCAAGACTGTTTTTTTCAGGACTATAAATTTCACCTTTAACTCTTTCATTTCAAAGATTTCAAAATCAATTCCCCTTGTGGTCTACACCTGTACATACCTACATGTATTTTAACACAAAAATTCTGAAAACTTTATTCCTTAAGTTTAAAAGACTTTGACGGCTTTCCTGCTCATCATTCTAGTCTTTGTCTTGGACTTTCTGGTAAGGACTGGAAAATGTCAAAATAAAATTCCAGGACTTTCCAAGTTATCCAGGACCCCTACAAGACCTACTTAAGGACTTAAATCAATGTTCCAATGATTTGTCAGGTAATGGAGATCAAAGAATTTCACTGCATCCATGCAAAATTTTGATGGCCTGGCCTATTTTCTGTCTCTGTTTTCATCTTCTTTAAATTCATATATGGAGAATATTCTGTGGTCACTTTACATTGTTCTCCTCCAACTATGTGTACAATCCTCAACAGAAATTTCAGTTCTCACCTTGACATTGTGAATGACAAATTTCTTGAACCCATCTGGCATCAGATGTCTGGTTTTCTTGTTGCTGCCATAGCCAATACTGGGCATTAAATATTGGCCCTTGAACCTCCTACGTACTCTGTTGTCAATACCTTTGGGCTTGCGCCAGCTTGGCTAAAAGCAATACCACAATTTATTGTATTACTTAGTTTCCTTGGATGTCTAACATAAAGAACACTGACAGGCTTGATTTCAAATTAAAAATAGAGAAACAAGGATTGTTAAGGCCTTCAGAAAGTGAAACCATGACCATCATAAACCTCTAACAAGAGTTTTTCTGTTTCAGAGAAGAAGCCGGTTGGGCATTAAAAAGAGGTTTAGAGATCTGTTTAGCTATCTTAACTTCATTGATAATTTTAATCTTGTGGATTGATTGGCATACTATAGACCTTTCAGAGTCAATCTAAGTGCACACAGAGTACTAACTTCTTTATTAACTTGAAACTTTGCACATAAATAAAATGCAGGTATTTTGTTGCATGCAGCTGATGTACATTTTGGATTGAGGTTCATACCATAGAACATTAAGAAAGAGGTCCTACATGCACCTCACCCAAACAAAATGAGTTTTTCTCCTTCCCTTGGACGACCACCACTTTCATTACAAAGCCAGTAGCAATTAAAGCTATGGTTTAAGTTCAGAGTGTGGTGCTTTTAAAGGGAAGGTAATTCTAAAACCATAACTTGCAAAACCTCCTGTTTGTGAATGCCTAGTGAGATAACTACACAACATTTCTATCAAAATTACCCTTCAAACCCACTACTTTATTCTTGGCTACAGTGAACAAACCCACTGGCAAGAAAAGCTTCTTAACCTTTTGAATCCTTTAAGTGACCAGCATCTAATTTCTCCTCAAAGTAATGCTGTTGAATCATTTATTAAGAATCAGGAGAATAAAGAAAATGATTGCCTGATAAACCCTTTAACAACTAAGATCTGATTGTTGATTCTCCCCTCCAGCTGCGATGCATTTTCTTGTAGATTAGTTGCAAGAATTTGGTGTTAGATCAAGATGACAACTTCTACCTGACAAGTTTGAGCTCTCCACTTGCCTGTCACAAGATAATCAGTTCAGGGAGTCGAGGGGTTAAGAAGCTTTGAAACATAAACCAATTCTCCTTGTCAGTTCCAAAGGAAATGTATAGAGAAAAGTATGAAGAATATGGATGCTAGTGTTTGGGTTAAGATGGTTAAAAATACTTGAAATTATACAAACCTTGACTCGGAGAAATCGATCAGACTGATGTCTAATGAATCTCTTCTTTCTCTTTTTTACAATGCAGGGTTTATTTGCTGGCATAACCATCTTGGCTGAGAAAGAAAATAAGATAAAATAAAATAGAAGGTTTAGGTTTAATTAAAATACTGTACTAATCGTGTCAACTTCTTCAAAAAATCATCAAACGCTTGAGTGTGAGCTGCCGAAATAATTTGCGAAGCAAGAATAAAATGTGCTGCAAGAAGGGCACAGAAAAAACGAAGTATTAACCGAAAAAACACAAAACTTTGAAAAAATATATACTTATAGATGGCACTTTCTTCAAGTGACTGACAGAGTCATGTGGAATCTATCGACATCCCACTAAACACGTCGGGAAAAACAACTGAACATCCTCGTGATTATTCCCGACGATTAGACCAGGAGACACACGTTCCTTGTCTCCTTGGATGAACTGAAGGATTCAGTGTTAAGTACTGCAATTCCCAAACCCACTTGGCTTCTCTTCATGTACATTCCATTTCATTGTAATTTCAAAGCCCCGCATCATTCGCGTTGTTTCACATTACAACACAAACTCTCAATAAAAATATTTATACTGAAGATATTTTCAAGAAATACGGCAGAAAATGGATATGTTTTGATCAGTTGATGTTTCGAAATGAAGGGAAATATGCTGAGATGAAATCCGCTCACCTCACTCGATGATACGAGCAGCAAAGAAAATGGCGAAGAGGCCATTGCAGGGGTCGCGAAGGATCATGGAGCCGTTTCAAAGCTCACCCACACAGCCCCACATGAGTTTTCCTTTTACGTGCTTGAGGGTAGGGTGCCTAGTAACCATAACTTTGTCAAGAACGTAAGAATAGGCCCGCAATGAGTGTGAAGCAGAACAGTCCTTCGCAGAAGACAAACATTATGGAGGCAAACTTTCTAATGCGATTTTGATGCGATCCAAACGAGAGCTCCTTTTTCTGAAGCTCAGTGCGCGACTTAACAAACGAATAAAACGCTTTTAGAAATGAACGCTTACAATTAAATTGTAAGCGCTGACGAAGTCAATCTATTCGTTACATTTAAAGAAGAAAATCGATTAAAAACTCGCGGAAAATCGATGAAAAGAAATTGATATTTTTTACATCCATCGGTTCTCGCACGGCATCTTGCAAATCCAGATCACAGGAACGGAAAAGAATGTAACGAACGCCACATCGTAATCAACTGACTTGCACTACAATGTCCTGGCTCGCGCAAATGAAACCTTTGCTGACTTCACAATAGTTTGTTTCTAACTGCCGCGCGCAAGAGATTACATACATTAGTTCACCACACCGGGCTCATGAGAAACATTACCAGGAGCTAAAATGGCAACCAATCTCGTTGAAAAACTCCCAGAGTCAGTTTTGCTGAACATATTTCACAACTTTCCTTCTAAAGATCTAGGTCGCGTAGGGATGGTGTGTAAAAATTGGCACCGAATTGCTTCGGATTATTCGCTCTGGCAACATGTGGATTTACGTGGCTTGAGGCTTAAGAAAGAAAGTGTAATAGCTTTGATTGAGAAGGTATCTCCCTTTGTTTCTGTGATGAACATCAGTGGATGTGGCTTTACGATTGCTTTTATAACTACTGTAGCAAAGAAATGTGTCAAGTTAAAAACTCTTAGGTAAGTCTCTTTAATTTGCAGCGTCCTCGTTTCCGTAATAATTCAGTCAATAATAATAATGATAAAAACACTTTCGTTACTCACACAAAATTGACATAAAAACCATAAACCGTTTTCATGCTAAGACGATGAGTTATCTTTAGCTAATGATATTATAGAAATCGGTTTTCATGAATTACTGATCAGTTTAAGCTGGGTTTGCGAATAAGGGAAGGCAAATCAACCAATCAACTACAACAACAACAACGATTTATTGCTCACATTTCCTTACTCAGTTGCATGAAATCAACAATTATATTTCGCTAAATTAAAACCTTATAGATATTTGTAGCAAATAGTAGAAAAGTTAAATGTAGATATGTGTATGGGCTACAGGATGACTCAAGTAAAGTTGAATGAAAGCGGATTTATTTTCAGTTACTTTTATTTCTCTTTCAGTCTTCAAGGGGCTCATTTTATAGACTTGGATTACGACTTTCATCTTAGCTGGACCTCTTTCAAAACCCTTGAAAATCTGGACGTTCGTTTTCTTGAAGGCCTTTGTGCTAACACTTTCATAGAACATATTCATCTCTTTAGGAGTATTCAAAGTCTTGGATTAGCAAATATTAATTCATCAGGAGAGCTGGAAAGAATTTTTAAATCGCTGCGCAATTTGCGTGTAGTTCATTGCCAGAATTGCCCCTCCTTAACAGATTCCCATATAGACATCCTGGCAGATTCTTGTCCCAAACTAGAGTCGCTTTGCCTCACTGGATGCATCTACGTCACGGGGTCCACTTTCCCGCGTCTAATTGGCAAATGCAAAAATCTTCAAACCCTGCTCATGAGTTGCACTAGATTGCAAAATAGCAACATAATAAAAACGGATTGGAGTAAGGCTAGACTGACCGAGCTTGACTTTTCCTACTGTTATGGAATTGGCGAGAGTGGGCTGATGGAAATTCTTCCCAAATTGACAGAACTACGGTATCTTCAGTTATCTTTTTGTGGCTGGGGCAGAGCTTTCAGCGACAAGGTTGTAAGCGCCATGTCACAAACGAACCACCTACAGCTCGAAATCCTCGATATTCACAGTAGCTTCAATATCACCAGCGAGACACTGTGTAAGTTCGCTGAAAGTTGTCCTCGTTTAACAAGTCTTTGTATTGGAAGCGCAAACACATCCTGCGAAGAGCTAGAGACATTGCTGAAAAATTTAGGAAACTTAAAACACTTTTACATCACAAAGCAAGCCACGATAAAAACTGAAACTGTATTCACCGATATCAAAAGATTTTGTCCACGCATTGAAACTCTGGCGTTACATAATTTTTACGCCATAAACAGGCATCGCGTCGAAGAAGCTCTTGTCGAGCTCGTAAGAACTTGTCAACGTTTGAAGGTTCTTTGCATTCGAGGAACAAATGTTCCTTTAAGAACCGAATTAGCTCAACTTGCTGACAAAGTTAAGACTTGTACTAAACGAAGCGATGTTGAAATATCCCGAAAACCTCATTTTTTGTTTGCTGGAGCTAAACTGTGTTTGGATAGCGTCCTCAAAAACTCAACTCCTTTGAACTGAAACTCGTATTAGTTTGGCAGATTTTTTTTGTTTTTTAAAGTTCTTCGCCTCGTTTCTCTTAGATTGCATAATATTAATGACTTATACCCTACGAAAAACTGATGCATCCTGTTAAGCTGACAAAGAGCACGAGAAGAAACCATTCTACCTTATGAAATAAATGAACAAATGAAAAACCAAATGAATATGAAGGTGGGGACACTTCAAAAATTACTCATTAATAGACGACTGGTCTATTAATAGACTATGGTTAATGGTCTATACAATCAACGTCACTACATGACAGCAACTTGACTAAAGACGAACAACGCGCACTGAAACGACTGAGAAACGACGAGAACATAGTCATCCTACCAGCCGACAAAGGACGAGTTACTGTTGTTATGGAAAAAACTGAATATCACGACAAAATGGACGCACTAGTTAACGACAAACGAACCTACGAAGAACTCAAACGTGACCCAACTCCTGCACTTCAACGTAAACTCAACAGTAAACTACTGACACTCAAGAAAACGAACGCCTTTGACACCCAACGGTACTATCGACTAAGGTGCTCGGTACCACAGCCACCGAAACTCTACGGTTTGCCGAAACTACAAAAACCTGGTTTCCCGATGCGACCTATTGTTTCTTTCTGTGGCTCTCCCACATACCAACTATCCAAGTACCTGACGACAATACTACAACCGCTAACCGACAAATCCAGACATAAACTACAATCCACTGAAGACTTCATCAACGCTACCAAGACTGTTCAGATACCTGACGACTACAAACTAGTGTCATTTGATGTGAAATCACTGTTCACAAGTATTCCACTTCAATTGGCATTACAATGCACTGAGACTGCAATCCGACAATCTACCGACCCACTACCGCTACCGACAGACGACATTATGGACTTGCTAAACATTTGCCTAAGGTCTACTTACTTTCAGTACAACGGTAAACACTACAAACAGTTACACGGCACTGCCATGGGGTCTCCAGTTTCTGTTGTTATAGCAGAAATTGTGATGCAGAACATCGAGGAACGCGCTCTTTCGACTTGCCGACAAACGATACCGCTTTGGTTACGTTACGTTGACGACACCTTCACCGCCGTTCGACACGACGAAATTGACGCATTCCACCACCACCTTAATGAACAAGACACTGACATACAGTTTACCAGAGAAGTCGAAGAAAATGGCAAACTTCCTTTTCTAGACTGCCTAGTAAGCCACAACGACAACTCATTACGGACGACAGTTTACAGGAAACCGACACACACCGACAGATTACTAGACGAGTCATCCTACAACCCTACATCACACAAAGCTACAACTATCAGAACTCTAACACGACGCGCACAACTAGTATGCGACTCGACAGACAGCTTATCCGACGAGAACAGATACCTTCACCGTGTTTGTAAAAAGAGCAACTACAACAACGACTTCATCCGACGAAACACTCACCGACCCACTATCACTACCGAAACAAACGACACCGCAACCCCTACGACTACAGCAACCATACCGTACATAAAAGGCATGTCTGAAAACATCTCGCGCATCTTACTACCCTTCAATATCCGCGTCGCCCACAAACCCATCACCACACTACGTCAGTTACTAACCAACGTTAAAGACAAAGACGAACCGAGGAACAGACAGGGAACGCTTTATAAGATCAATTGTTCCGACTGCCAAGCCTCCTACATCGGTGAGACTGGCAGAAACCTCACAACAAGACTGACTGAACACAGACGGGCGACGAGGAAAGGTGATGTCAGCAATCAGATTGCTGAACACCATCGACTTACCAACCACAACATTGACTGCGACTCTGCGCAATGCCTAACCTACAGCACTGACTATTTTCAACGACTAACTCTGGAAAGCTGGTTTACTAACTTAGAACAGACTCCCCTAAACAGATGTCAACTACTACCCGCTCCATACAAACGATTCATTCACGACATAAACATCACAAACGACCGAAAAAGAACGACCTAACTTTACCGACAGATCGAAACAGACCAATCACGACCGACTTACGTCACTTGAGTCTTACAGCCAATAACATCACGGCAAAACCAACCGATCATTTCACACGAACTGGAATAAAAACATTCTACTGACAACAATCATTCATTATGTATTCATTATGTCCTCGTCATCCAGTTGACGAACGAGTCATTTCCAGTGGATAAAAAATATTCAATTCTTTAAAAGTTCTTCTGATTTTAAACACTGGGCTCGCATAATCGCAATCATTATGAAACTGAAATTAGGGATGACAAATTTGAGTGCGATGAGTTTTTCCGATAAGATTGTACTTTAAGAGTAACAATAGCAACAAAAATGTCTACTAAACGTGATTTATCACGTAGAAAAGTGTATTCGTTTAATTGATTGTTTTGACTGGAGAGTTTTTTTGCAAAACAACGCCACCTGAGTTTTGGGAGATGGCCAGGAAGCCGTTGATCTCAGTTTTAAATCGGTTTTCACTCCTGTTCTGGTTTTTTCAGATGTGAAAAAGCGAGAACAGGAGTGGGAAGTTTCAAGCAAATGATAGATGAATGTTTCAGCTGATTAGTACTGTAAAGTTTGCTTGACTGATTGGTGAAATCATGCGTGAGTGTTGATAAACATCATCACAAGGTCACCCGTAAGCTTTGTAAATGTTATTTGTTACTACGAACAATAGATTTTTAGATGGCTGTGTAGACAAGGGATGCTCACTAAAGATAGCTTACGATCCTGTTCTAGAGCGAGTTAACATGATGTAAGCTGATATATATGCCATACGTACCAGGTCTTAAAAGCCCAGCAGCGGACGGTGGACTGAACTTAACTCACGCGCAGCCAAGAGAAAGTCAGCTGCTCTTTTGTCTCAGCTAACTGATTGTTATGTTAATAAAAAATGGGTGGTGTTTGTGGTTAAACTAATGCACGGTATTTAACATACTAAGGACTTTGTTTGTCATAAAATGCAAGCGAGGTACATGTTGCAATTGATTCTAGGCTCAGTGCCCGAGTGCAGTTTCAAAGATTTGAACTGACTCATTTATCGTTCTGAACCCATCTCTTCTCCCATTCTGTCTGCTTCTGGCTGTAAAATATGCACTCAGGCAGGTACAATATCACTAAGTTTGCTCAACAAGGACTGAAACAACTTATTAGAACGCTAGCTACTTTTTATTAGAACATAAGTTCCATTGATTTGCTGATGATTTAAGATATGAATTAAGGGTGCAATGAATTTTGTATAAAGCAAATTGAAGAAAGCTATAGAAGGAATAAAATGCTTTTTTGTGTTAAACTTTCATTCACTTGATGGCCTCTGTTGGAGCATCCAGTTATGCAGAAGAATGGCCTTCTCTTTGCTTCTGTCATAACTTTCATCAGCATTTTCTATAAACTTTTGCAGCGCTTTCGCATTTGTGTGCCACTTTGCGGTTGATGCGTGTTCTCCATATTCCTGGCACTGGTGGCCTTTGAAGGTTCCGAAAATTTTTGCGTTAAATCCAGGGATGTTAGGGAGACTAGCTCTTTTACAAACTACTTCTTTTGGACGAGATATATGTAAATTCAAGTGTGTTTTGCTCGCACAGTTCCGCGATATCCAGTCTTCCCTCGCAACACTCCAAGCAGTCGGATCAGAGTTCATAGGCAGTTTAGCTTCCAGGCTAATAGTAGTATTGGGAAGAGTGCCATGTCTACGTAGAAATTTTGGTGGACCTGTCATAGCTAACATGGGCTGTTTGTTATCCTGGCATTTTCGCGTAGTTTCGTCACTCTGCGCAGGAATAAGAGGAAGAGCAACTATTCCATGTCGAGGTGTAGTAATGTTTGGCAGTTTGCATTCATCAGTCCACTTCTCAAACTGATGGTTGGCTACGCTGGAAACCCCGCTGGAAGGAGAATCTGTTTCTGTTCTGTCAAACACGGTTGGAGCACTGACTCTTTTAACTCTATCTGGCCTTCTCTGCGGACAATTGCTTGGTCCAGAGATAAATGATCGACGATGTGACAAGTTTCTGTCCATTTTAGGTTTCTGTTTAGCCCCCGGGTATTCAAATCAGCAATGTAACTTCGACTGGCGATATACACAGAAAAAAAAAAACACAATCTAAGAGGAGCTGTGATATCGGTGTTTAGTTTTGTTTTGTTCTTTGGTTCCGCCGTCCTAAAGAGTGGCTACTTATTAGAAATTAGTTGTATAGTGTTCTACTGTCACCTCATTGTATTATCTGTGATTGCTCTTCCATGAAGCGCTACAACTCTCCTGATTAGAATCGTAGTTTCCGGCTTCCACTGCTGGATTCTTACCACTTCCTTCTTATCTTTCGAGAGCCATTATAATGAAAAGTAGGCGCAATATCGAATTCCACACCACTGTGTATACTAGAAGATGTTCTTAGGACAAACTTCAAAAGTCTTTTCCTTATGTGAGTGCGGATCTTTCAATTCAAGCTGTTCATGTTGCTTTGGTCACTTGCGTACTCTTTATCTAGCACAACTGTAGAATAAATCGCTTTGAAACTACGTTGTTTTAACTGCTTCATGACAATGAGCAGACGCAATTTTTAAGGGACTTTAGAGTCGAATATTTTAGATTCAACATGCAGTTATCGAATCTACGCGAGAACATCTCATGCACCAACTGGAAATTTTTTTACCTAGTTTTTTTTCTAGTGTAAGCAGCAGTTTATGACATAATCGCAGCAAAGACTTCCAGATGTCCAATTTATACTGTTTATACTGTTTTATACTGTTTATTCTGTTTTTTTGTTATTATTTCATGGAGCGTTAACAGCCAATTTACTCAACCCGCATATAGCATTAGCTAGTCTTGGCGGGTAAAAGTAATAAATAAGTAAATACTGAACATTGTAAGCTAAAGAGATTTCATCGCTGCTAAACTATTACTGCAATTATAAACTATAGATTAGTTTACTACATTATAAGCTAAAAGATACGTACAGTTGTCATACAAATTAAATATAATAAAATTACTAGTGAGTTGAAACAAGACATAATAATCAAATACAGGCAGAACAGACTGACAAGTAGAGAGGAGAGAATTGTGACATATGAATGTGAGCGAAGTACTGCAGTTATAATATTCGATAATCAT